CATTCAGCCTTCAGTTTGTTTCCACAGTTTTTAATGGATTTTGCTGTTTCCTGTGTTCTTAGGATGTTTCCTTGGTTTTATACAGCTGTGTTATAAGCCCTTTGTCAAGGATGGGCAAAGGGCTTACAACACAGCTGTATACTCTCTATTCCCAATATTGTGCATTACTCTGAGAAGAACTGGCAGCTTTTCCAACTCTTGTTAATCAGTAAAAAAACAAAAATGCATTACTATGACTGTTATTTGTTCTGTTTAAAGTGCACGAACTTGACTGATTCATCATTTACACTCATCCTCCTACAGCTTGCACAGAGACACTGAGGACTGGATGTTAAACATCAGGTTAAAGCCCAGCCTGGAGTCACAGCCAAAGCCTGCATACAAAGGCTCGGTGAAGGTGGTGTTGAAGGTGTGAAGGTGGATCAGACTGTCACAGGAGACTCTGTAGAAGGACACGATGCCGGCAGGATAGTCTACATACACTGCTATTCTCTTAGAGAAAGAGGATGAGGATGAGGAAGGGAAGTACATCTCTTTCCCTTGGTTGTTGTGGCAGACAGCGTAGCGGTCAAGAAAGCAGCTCAGACTCCAAGACTGATCATTTCCTCCAAACCTGCTTCGAGGGCTGTTGCCTTTTCTTTTGATTCCTCTGTAGCTCACACATATGTCCACTAGTCCTCTCCACTCCACCTCCCAGTAACAGCGACCGCTCAGTTCATTTTCACACAGAAGCTGGGGCCAACTGTCGAACCTGTCTGGATGATTCGGATATAACTGAAAGTCTGAGGCTGTCACTGTCATGTTGTTGTGGGACAATCTGAGGGCTCGGCTTGCTGTGTTTGGGTCTATCTGCAGCTCGCAGGCATCTGATGGAGACAAAGAACACAGCAAATCACATTAACTGGTTTCATTTCTGTTCCAAGATCTTTAAAAAAATACAGTTGATCATGAACTGTTAATTCATGAACCTGTGGATCCGACGGAGGTTGTACTGCACTGGGACAGCAAACAGTTTGTGAGGTTGGGAGAATGTTCCTCATTAGGTTCTGTACTGGGTCCAAAACTACTCGTTAGGTATCGATACATCAAAATGAGTTTTATTTGCAGATGGCACAAATAAAAACATAATGGAGCTGCTGGAGATGTGCATCAAAAAAACTGGTGTGCCAGGAACAAAGTACCACTGAATCCAAACATCACTGAAGTGTGTTATTTGGGAGTTCTCAAAGACACCCACAAGTGCAGATTCACATGAATGGATCCTTTTCCTGTAACAGGTGCAGGCTGCTGGGGGATTCCCATGATGCACTGGGTGTTTCATCTTCACTCAGTGGGGGTGTCCAGATTCACGGGCTGCATCCTCCTGAGGCCGCATTTGTGGGCCGATTGCGTCACAGCAACGCGATGAAGGCTGTCCAAATTGTTGGACTCTTCTGAATGCAGCCGACAAATGCGTCCTCCTTTTCTCCGAATTTGAAGGATGGGTCGGGTGTGTCCTTCGTGGCCCGCCATATCCCAGAATTCATAGTGCGGCCCAGCCAATTCAAGTTTCTGACAATGGCGACCGCTACTAAGTTTTAAAATTACTCTTATTAATCTTTCTGGGTCACAAAATAAACTTTTAACATATTTTCAGGCGACAAAGTAGCTGTGTAAACATCAAATATCTGCTCGGTTTATCAAGACATCGCATATTTGCAAAAGTGCTCCGAGGTTTTCGCAGGCGTCTGTTCGATACCTAGATGGGAGGTCAATGGTCACTAGAGCCGCCGAGAATGGCAAACCCCCGGCACATCATTTTCAGATCACCGCGGTCTTTGGCTACTCAGGTTAAGCATGACATAGAAGTCACTTAGAAAACTTAAAAATGTTATTGTTTGTTTTTTTTTCAGTGTTTTATTTGTTTGTGAGTAAATCGGTTTGGCTGAGATCAAAGTTCTAGTTTCCACACAGCTGAATAAACGTCAAACAGAAAACTGATTAAACAGAAGTGTGAGACGGTTGAGAGTTTACTCCAGTGTCCTGTTATATTTTAGATAGCAAGGAGCAGACGGCTGAGTTTATTAAACTCCACCGAGACAGCGGTGACGCAGATCTGAAGGCTCGACCGTCCCATTTCACAGCTGTTTACTTCCGGCCTACCCGACCTCCTGAGGACCCGGCCCATGTAGACCGCAAAGGCTGGGTCCTCAGGAGGATGCAGCTCATGAATTTGGACATGACCGCTATGTGATAACAGACCTGCATTGAATCATATCTGTTATTAATCTCTGTCTCTCTTCCACAGCATGTCTTTATCCTGTCTTCCTTCTCTCACCCCAACCAATCACAGCAGATGGCCCCGCCCCTTCCTGAGCCTGGTTCTGTCAGAGGTTTCTTCCTGTTAAAAGGGAGTTTTTCCTTCCCGCTGTCACCAAAGTGCTGCTTTGGGCACTCTGTGATAGTTGGGATTTTCTCTGTTTTCTTTGTATTATTGTAGTTTTTTTTAACATTACAGTATACAGCACCTTGGGCATTTCCTGGTAGATAAATAAAATTGAATTCAATTGTTTTTTATATTTTTTTTCTGTGACATGTCAGAATAAGCTGAGTAAAATCACTTACACTTCTTTAAGCCCGGTTTTAGCCTCTGCTCTCCACCATGGTCCAATCTGCATAACAAAGCAGCCATTTACAGATGCAGTTATGAACTGCTTCACAGTTTAATCATTTGAAATGATTCAGGCTGGGAATCAAAGAATAACTCACAAAATAATGCTATCACAACATGCATGATACGTTTGATAATCGTGTAACTGAAAATGAAAATTTACCATCAAATGCAAAACTCATCATTATGCAGTGTAATGTTGTATATGTGCATAGTTTGTCAGATTCATTGACTGCATTGTCTACTTGATGATAACATATCAGAACTCTTGGTTTCAATGTATTTATGTAGCACTCTTCACAGGATAAAAACCACAAAGTGCTTCACAGTAATATAAAAACAGATATACATAAAACAGCACAAATCTAATTAAAATCGAAATGTAACATTATCTCATTACGGGGTTTTTAGTGCATGCTGGGTAAGTTCCTGTAAGCTGCCGTGATGTGTGCAGGCGTGTTCTTTGGAGCCTTTTCCTCTTTACTTCTCTCTAAAGACTGTCTCTGGGTTTCAAAGGTGAGAAGTAAACTCTCCACACCCACTACCAAACCTTTTGAATGCAAGTGCAATCACGCACACAGGTGTGCACACAGGTGTTCAGACACACTATCTTCCTTGGCTGCTGCCTCTAAGCATACCATGCGTGGTTGGTCTTGTGTGCTGGTCAGTAACATTCAATATTTATTATTTATTGTTACTTATACTTATCTAGATGTTGCTGTGGTCTCCCTGTTGTGTTGTTCTCTTTTTGCTTGTTTTCTTTTTTTCCTTCCAGCTGATTTTTCTCTGCCCCTCTTCCTCTCTCCTTTTCTCGAACTTGTCTTGTCTACATCTTTCCTTTTCCTATTATCCCCCCATCATGTCTGTTCCGATTGTAATAATTAATTAACTAAACAACTAACTAAAATAATAATAATATAATTAACCAATAATAATAAAGATCAATCACGTAGACCAGTATGGCAAAGCTGTAATGATCCACTTGGAAACATAAATCCGCTGGGCAATAATAATTCTGATTGCTGCCAAACGAGACACGAAGTACAAATAATTTATTGTACCAAGAACAATTTTCTTTTCTTTACTTGTTTGTTTAAACCTGCTGCTAAACAAACTGCAGGTCAGAAGCAGGTCATCTGATCACAGCCTGTACAGTAAGAAAATCTACTCAAGCTCTCAGTAAAAATTATTGTGAGTTATGATTATTTTCCCTGAACCTTGCAGCTGATTTTAGGTTCCCACTGAATCCACTGTAACCGCTGACTGTGCGCATTTTCCTGTCAATATATAAAAAAGATTTTTTACCTTCTTTAAACTAAAGTCAGACTAAAGTTTGTATTCCCCTCAACTAACATTACTTTATCTTTATGTTAATACTACACAGAGTTCAGTGAGCTTTGCACAAGAAAATAGAAAACAGAAATGTTCTCTAAAGAAACAACTTTTCATTTCTCAGTCTGAGAACATTTCTTTACATTTTTACTTTTACTAGATGAACACAGTTGAATCAGTACTTCAACTTTTACTGGAGTATTTTTAACAGTAGTATTTGTACTTCTACTTAAGTACAGAATGTACTTTAGCCACCTCAGCTGGTCCCTGGTGGTTCTGCGCTGGTGCTCTGGCCCTCGTGTGGGTGGAGTCACAAGTGGTGGCCATAATCAGTGTTTCCAGTTCTCCAAGCACTAAGAAAAGGAGTTTCGATGCTACCTTTCTTGCTTCCTTTAGCAGAGGATACGCTGGTCCATCCTTTGCAATGGACCATTCATGAAAAAAATAATTTAAAAAGTGGCGCAGCTCGTATATATATTACCTGTAATTGGATGTCCATGCCATAACTTGATGAAATATTTTGAATTTTTCAAAAGCAGTTTGTTAAACTCACAGCTGAACATCACACTGCTGCAATAAGAAGAACAAAGTTCTCCAGATTATATTAACTGATAAAAGTTTACGCTTCTGTGGAATCAGTTTGCATTGTTAATGTCTTTTGCAGTATTACAGCCTTTAAGATTATCATGGATTCATGTTTACTTCGGGTCGGCTGGGATAAACGTGGAATATTTTACTGCAGTCACAGGAATCATTCTACGGGATGACAGCAGCTAAATATAAGAAAATAAGAGGGATTTAATTTTATTGGCTGATTTATTAAGCAGGGCAAATTATTGTGATGCCACAGGTGATCTACTAACTTTCTCCTGAATTTCTCAATTTAATGGCTCATAAATCCACAAACTAGAACAAGGAGAGTGTTGGGCCCATTAATCACAATAATAACTCAGGTTGTACACATGTTTCTCTCAAAAACAGTGCAGCAATTTAGATAAATGAGAGGAAGCTGAAGTTCTTCTGGCAGAACTCTGTGGGCATGTGCAAAGGGTCCTGAGGATTGAGACTCAGGTGGAGAGCTGCATTAACTGAAATATGTGTCAAACAGCTGACCTGTATGAAAACTGCAGTCCCGTTACTGTTGTGTTACCACAATTGTAAATGCGCAGATTGCTGTTCGGACTTGCATATTGCAATATTAAATCGAACACAGTAACATGAATTCATTAATAGCAGCTTTGTCACTGACATTTGCTAAACTCGGGACCTTTGGCATCCACCGTATGTAAAGATCAGCACACGTCTGCTTCTCGTTCTTTCAGAGCATACCTGAGAGTGTCCAGTCTCCAGTTTGGATCATTCAGTCGAGCAGACAGCACATCTGCTGCCGCGTCACCTGGATGATTGTAGCTCAGGTCCAGCTCTCTCATATGTGAAGGGTTGGTGCTCAGAGCCGAGGCCAGAGAAGCACAGCCGTCCTCTGTGACCATGCAGCCTGACAGCCTGAAAATCATGAATAACATTTAATTTTTAAGCTGAAGAATTTAAAAAAATGTATTATCAAAAATCTGCAAAGAATAGTTTTGTTTTGTTTTTGAATGATAATGACTAACTTGAGAATCTCAAGTATACAGTGTGGACTCCGCAGTCCAGTGGACAGTAGTGTCACTCCTGAATCCTGGAGATCGTTGTTACTCATGTCCAGCTCTCTCAAACTGGAGGACTGGGAGCTGAGAACTGGAGACAGAGCTTCACAGCTTCTCCATGACAGCTTGCAGCCACTCAGCCTGATGACAAACAAAACTTAAACACTTAAAACATTCAAATAATTTCTGCTTTTGTGACCACGAGTCACAC